AGCTCAGCCCCTGCACCCCTCAGACCCACCCCTGCTCAGCCCCTGCACCCCTCAGACCCACCCCTGCTCAGCCCCTGCACCCCTCAGACCCACCCCTGCTCAGCCCCTGCACCCCTCAAACCCACCCCTGCTCAGCCCCTGCACCCCTCAAACCCACCCCTGCTCAGCCCCTCAAACCCACCCCTGCTCAGCCCCTGCACCCCTCAAACCCACCCCTGCTCAGCCCCTGCACCCCTCAGACCCACCCCTGCTCAGCCCCTGCACCGTCCAAAGCCACCCCATGCCCCCCAAAACCTCCTGCTCAGCCCCCAAAATCAGGGTGTGGTGAGGGGTGCAGCTGTGGAGGTGCTGGGAATGATGGGGATGGGTGGAAGGATGGAGGGAGGGAGGGAGAGAGGGAGGGAGGGAGGGAGGGAGGGAGGGAGGCATGAACGGATGGATGGATGGATGATGGATGGATGGATGGATGGATGGATGGATGGATGGATGGATGGCAGAAGGGATGGAGGGAGGGATGGATGGAGGGGTGGAGGGATGGAGGGAGGGAAGGAGGGAGGGATGGATGGATGGATGGATGGATGGATGGATGGATGGATGGATGGATGGATGGATGGATGGATGGATGGATGGCAGAAGGGATGGAGGGAGGGATGGATGGAGGGGTGGAGGGATGGAGGGAGGGAAGGAGGGATGGATGGATGGATGGATGGTCCCCTGCAGGCATTGGGACCCTTTGCACCCACCCAGCAAGATTAAGCCCAGTAGATGGGGACAATGCTGCAGAGGATGCTGGTGGTGGTGCCCAGGATGGAGCGGTCAGCCAGGGGCATGGCAAGTCTCTTCTCATCCTGGAGAGGGCAGAGAAGGAAGGCTAAGGCAGCAGCAGCACGATGCTGCACGGAGGGTGTTGCACAACGCATCCTGCCCAGGGCATAGCTGTGTGTCCCCACCTTGTCCCAGCAGGTCCACCAGCACTCACCTGCCGGCGCTGGAAGGCCTCAGCCATGGTGTCCAGCCCAGGGATGTTGTCTTTGTCCATGTGGGCGATGTAGCAGGCACCGTGGACCTGGGATCTGTAGCTCACCAGCAGCTATTTGCAGGTAGAGCCACATCAACACGGTCCCATCTCACCTTCCCCATCCTCCCCATTGCTCCCCACTTACATTCTTGTAGTCATAGATGACCGTGGCCGGGTTTCCATCCCCACCATCCACATAGAACGTGGCTGCATCCTCCTCCCAGGCTGATTCTCTCCAGAGCCCCATCCTTAGGACCTGTGGGGCACGGTGGGAAGCTCACACCCTGCTGCATCCCCTCATGGGGGCTCCGGGGGTCCCTTACTTACAGCATCAGCGTGGCGCTGGTCCGCGCGCAGCCACATCAGCAAGGCTCCGGCGATGATGACCACCACCAGCACCACCACCAGCACCACCAGGAGGAGGCACTTGAGGCGGTGGCAGCTCAGGAGCTTGCGGGGCAGGTAACAGAGCAGGCGGGGGACGAAGCACAGCGACCGCTTGATGCAGCCGCCGCAGCTGGGGCAGCCGGGGCAGCGGCAGCACCGGGGCATGCAGCACCGCGCACACTTGGTGCAGCACACGGCGCAGGGCCAACAGCAGCAGCCCGGCTTGCAGCACCCGTTGGAGCAGCACCCGGTGCCGCAGCAGCCCTTCTCCGGGTCCTGTGGGCATGGGAGAGAAAGGGGGAGAAGTGGGGTGGAGAAGGATGCAGGAGCAGGGGGTGCAGGAGGGATGCCCCTGAGTCTTCAGGAGGCAGCGTCCCGTGGGCTCTTCACCACACTGGTGCCTTGGGGGGACAAACTGGGCAGAGCCGTGCTGAGCATCTCTGCTGGGCACAGGGGCAGCACGGTGCTGCCACCCCAGTGCGGGTCACAGACTCACCAGCGGCTCTTCAAGCACCACCTGCTTCATGCTGCTCTCCATGGCTGCTCCCTCCTCCTCCTCCTGCCCCCAGCCCTGCAGTGGCCACACCACAGCGCTTTATACCAGGGTGATGGGGTGGGGAGTGGAGTGGCCCCTGTGAAGGAGGTCGTGGTCCTGGTGCGCAATTGGGCTCTGCCATGCAAACCTCTTCAGTGCTGTTTGCTGACCTCCTTCCCCAGTGCTGCACGCCCCTGGGAACCCACAGCTCGAGAGTTCCTAAGGGCACTTGTCCCCATCACCGGGGGCTCTCTGCCGTCCAGGAGCGAGGGCTTGGTCCAAAGCAAACCCTCCTGAGCGGGTTCAAGCTGCTCTCCAGGGAGGAGCATCCGGCTGCAGCAAGACCTGGACCGGTGCCTGCGGCCCTTTGCCCTTAGCTCGGGCACATGGAGCTGCTCGGGGTGGGCAAAGTGCAGCGGGACATCAGCGCTGCCCCATAACCAGCAAGGCTGGGTGGGAGCAGGGTCACCTCGCCCTGAGGACATGTCCCTGGACCATGCTCTTGAGGATGCTCACAGGGGCTCACATGGATGGTGCTGGGGCTTCGGGGCTGATGTGCTCAGGGTGAGGGGTCCCAGCTCTGGCGTGTGCCCCACAGTGGTGCAATCGGCAGGGCAGGGTGACCCTTGGGATTGCTCAAGCCTCTCCTGCAGCAGGGTCGGGACCTCTCCAGGCAGGTCTGGGCCTGTTGGGAGCCCAGGCGCAGGGTGCGGGGTGAAGGGTGCACCCCATGCCCTACCCTGGGGTGCTGGGGAGCAGGGAGCCCCTTGAGTGGCTCCTGCTGTTTGCTCTCTGGCCCCATGTGCTCTGTGCATCACCTCCTGTGGCTCTGCTCACCCTGCTCGTCCTGGCTCTGCCGGGGCAATGCGGGCTCAGGGCTGCTGGCCCCATGTCAGTGCATGGCAATGTGCAGGTCCCCTCCCGCTGTGACCCTTGGCAGTGGGGACAAGGCTGAGTCAGTGCCTGTTGCAAGGTTAAACCACTCTGCCCAGCACCACCGCGCTCCTGGGGGGCTGGATCAGGTCCTGGGGGTCTCTTTTCTCCCTCCCATCCCATTGATCCCCCATTCTCTGGTGCAGCACTTGGAGCTGGAGGAGCTGGGGCTGCCATGGACAGGGATGGAGGGAGCAGAGGACTGGGGTGTCTCTGGGTGCCCTGCTCAGCCCTGGTGGCCCAGCCCCCGGCTCTGCCTGTGCCCATGGAGCTGTGGAGGTTTCTTTTGCCACCTCATCCTCCTCCCATGCAAGCTGGGAGGGCCCTGGGGGGACACTGGCCCTGGGAGCTTGGTGTGGAATGCTGAGGGGTGCTGCTGACCTGGGAAGGGAGTGCCTGAGCCCTCCTGTATGGGGCTGGACCGAGCACACTGACACGAAGGACGCTTCCATCCCACAGGGAGACATCCCTGGGACACCAGAGGGTCCCTGGCACCCTGGGGCAGGGAAGGATAAGAGCAGCACTTGAGGCAGTGGCACAGGCTTTACTTTGCAGACACAAGCATTAATCCTGAATCAAATCCCACTGGTTTATTATATGACAAGAGTGGTGGGAAAGCCGTGGTGCCGAGCGGCTGCAGATGGAGCACCCCTATGGTGGGATGGCTGCTGCCAAAGGAGGAGGAGGAGAAGGATGCCTGAGCATTGGTAGACAATGTGGGGAGCACGGGCTGGCCCCATCCACGCTATGCCCAGTACACAGGGACGGTGCTGCAGAGGATGTTGATGCTGGTACCCAGGATGGAGCGGTCGGCCAGGGGCACGGCTTTGTCCCCATCCTCATTCATCTCAGCCTGCAGGAGAGACAACAGAGGGGTCACTGCCTGCAGCAGCCGCCCCTGCAGCCGCTGCCGCCCGGGGGGGACCAGCACTGACCTGGCGCCGCTGGAAGCTCTCCGTGACGGCGTCCAGCCCCGGGATGCTGTCCCGGTCCATGCGGGTGATGCAGCAGGCGCGGTGGCGCCAGGACCTGTAGCCGACCAGCAGCTGTTTGAGGCAGACCCGGGTCATGCTGAGCCCCGTCCTTGCCCCTGCACCCTCCCCTGCGCCCGCTGCCCTCGCACCTTGCTGTAGTCATAGACCACCACGGCGGAGGCGTTGAGCCCATCCCGCACGGCGAACGTCCCGGTCCATTCTTTCTTGCTCAAGGAGAGGTGCTGGGGGGTCCCTTCGCCGTCCAGCCCATGGATGGTCATCCGCAAGACCTGCCATGCAGGGGGGTCAGGGGAAATTGTGGGGGTCTAAGCCCCATCCCTGCGGAGCACCAGCAGCCGGTGCCATTCCCAACCCTCCCAGTCCCATCACCGGAGCCGGCGGCACTGCGGTTCCCTCCCCTCACCGATTCGGCATGTGTCTCAGTGATGTGCAGCCCCAGCAGGAGGAAGGTGACGATGACCACCATGAGGATGAGCATCACCACTGCTGCCATCAGCAGGCTCTTGAGCTGAGGGGAGATGCTGGGCAGGCGCGGGGAGGCCGTGTACCTCTGGGGACACAGGGGACAACCTGGGTGAGGCACCGGCGCAGGCGGATGGTGCTCAGCCCCACAGCAGCTCATGGGGCGAGCGATGGGTGCTCCTTACCGGAGGTGCCTCCTCCATCAGCGCCTCTTTAGAGCTGCCGTCCATCTCGCCCTCCTTCTCCATGCGGCTCCTGTCTCTTTGCCAGCTGGAGCCGGGGGCATTTATAGGATCCCGGGAGGATGGGAGGAGGTTGGAGCTGCCAAGGTACCACTTGTGCTGTTTGCTGAGGCAGGGAGTGGGGATGAAACCTCCGAGAGCCCTTTCCCGGCATTGGGAAGGGGGGGAAGGCAAACAGTGGGCAGCAGAGCGAGCATGCCAGCGCCCAGCACCCTCAGCACACGCCCCTGTGGGTGCTGCACCCCGGTCCCTGCAGCCTGCTCAGTGCATGGGCAGCTGCGGGCCCCCCCCCAGGGTGGGCAGGAAGGAACTGGCTGGGCTCTTTGTTGGCCGGGAATGCGGTGCCTGGGACGGGATGGACAATGCCCGGCGCTCGCTGCCAGCACTGCAGCACCGGGGCAAAGCAACGCTTCGGTGCCTGAGCTCCGGTGGCACCACCCCTGCGACGGGAGATGGGGGCTCCCTCCAGACCCCCCTCGTGGGGCACCCCAGGGGCACCCCGCAGCCCCCTCCCGTGCGCGCCGCCGTCTCTGCGCGCTCACAGCGGTGAGCGCACGCTGCCGCTCGGCTGTCACTCACCGCATCCCTCCCGCCCTCCTTCCCGCAGCGCCCGAGCATGGTGCGCGCTGCAGCTCCGGGCCGGCAGCCCCCGCCGCGTCCCTTCCCCGCCGAGCTCTGCGGGCATTAAGGAGGAGGAGCGGGCTCTGCCTCCGCTGCCGGGCGCTGCGGGCGCGCAGGGACCAGCCCCGGGCAGAGCGCTAGGCCGGGGCGCGATGGAGCTGCGGCGCTGGAGGAGGATGCTGAGGGACCGGCTCCCCGCTCTCCTCCTCCTCCTCCTGGCCTCGGCCTGGCTCTGGCAGCCCGCGGAGGGTCGGCGGCCGCCCCGGCCCCCCCCGTGCCCCCCGAGCTGCTCCTGCACCCAGGACACTGCGTTCTGCGTGGATTCCAAAGCCGTGCCCAGGAACCTGCCCCCCGAGGTCATCTCGCTGTGAGTACTGGGGATGGGGACGGGGAGCGCATCACAGCCCAGGGCTGGCGGGGGTGATGCTGCCCTGGGCATGCAGGGACAGCCCCGCTGTGCTCCAGGGGGAGTAAATGTGTGCTGGTGTGGGGTATGGTGGGTGCTCTGCGGGACGGAGCGGGCTGGGGACATCCCAGGACTGGTCCCTGTGTCCTGCAGTGGTGGCAGCTCTCCTGCATCAGTGAGGGATGGAGCTGTCCCCACTGTGACCTTGGGGACCAGAGCCCCAGAGGGACATGGCTGGTGGGTGCTTGGGGACACGGTGGGGCAGCAGCCGTGTGTGTGCTGCGTGTACGGTGGATGCGTGTGTGTGCTCATGTGTGGGGCTGCTCTGGCGTGCACCAGCTGGCAGCAGGGACAGTGCAGGGGGGCACTGGGGTGGTGGAACCCCTCCTGCTGCCGTTCCCTCTCCTGAAGCTTCCTCTCCTTGGCAGGACCATGGTGAACGCGGCGTTCACAGAGATCCGGGAGGCAGCGTTCGCTCACATCCCCTCGCTGCAGTTCCTGTACGTGTCCGCCCTGGCATCCCGCTGTGTCCCCATGTTCCCACCCTGCCCGCCCTGTGCTGATGCCTTCCCCTTCTCCTTGCAGCCTGCTCAACTCCAACAAGTTCACACTGATCGGGGACAACGCCTTCGCCGGCCTCTCACACCTCCAGTACCTGTGTGTGGACGGGGACGGGGACGTGGGGATATGGATGGGGACACAGGGATGGGATGGGGGACATGGGGATGGGGACGTGGGGATGGAGACACAGGGATGGGGATGGAGACATGGGGAGGGCATGGAAAGGGTGTGGGGGGGTCAGAGGAACCTGTCCCTCGTGCCACCATCTCCTCCCACCCCAGGTTCATTGAGAACAATGACATCCAGGCTCTCTCAAAGGCCACTTTCCGTGGGCTCAAGTCCCTGACCCACTTGTGAGTATTGGGAACGGGGATCCTGCATTCCCCAGGGACACCGAATGTCTCTTGTCCCTTCACTGTGTGGTGTCACCTCCACAACCCCTCTGATCCCACAGGTCCTTGGCCAACAACAACCTACAGACGCTGCCTCGGGACCTCTTCAAGCCACTGGACATCCTGAGCGACCTGTAAGGCTGTGCTGGCACTGGGGCACTGGGATGGGTTGTGGGTGACACCGGGATGGGTTGCGGGTGGCCCTGCGGTGCTCGGGGCTCACTGGGGCTGGGTTAACTCTGTGCCATCCACACCAGGGACCTCCGTGGCAACACGCTGGCCTGCGACTGCCAGATCAAGTGGCTGGTGGAGTGGCTGGAGAGCACCAACACCACGGTCCCCCCCGTGTTCTGCAGCAGCCCCGGGCACTTCGAGGGTCAGCGCATCCAGGACCTGGTGCTCGGGGACTTCCAGTGCATCACCACGGGTGAGGGAACACGTTCGCCCATCGCCCCGCGCCCAGGTGATGCTCAGACCCTCACTGCCCCCTCTCCCCACAGACTTTGTGGTGCACCAGGTCCTGCCCTTCCAGTCGGTGTCGGCCGAGCCCTTCACCTACGCCAGTGACCTGTACGTGGCCCTGGCGCAGCCCGGTGCCAGCAGCTGCGCCATCCTCAAGTGGGACTACGTGGAGCGCAAGCTGCGGGACTTTGACCACATCCCGGGTAAGGCGCCCGTGCCGGGGGTCCCTTCCCATGCCATGGCCCCTGTTCGGGGTGCTCTGGGGCAGTCACGGCCCCGGTGTGACGTGGCCCTGCCCGGCAGCTCACTCCGCAGTGCACTGCAAGCCCATTGTGGCGCAGGAGCAGCTCTACGTGGTGGTGGCCCAGCTCTTCGGCGGCTCCTACATCTACCGCTGGGACACGAGCGTGGACAAGTTCATCAAGATCCAGGACATCGACAGCCAGAAGATCCGCAAGCCCAACGACATCGAAGCCTTCCCCATCGAGGGGGAGTGGTACTTTGTGATTGCCGACAGCTCCAAAGCGGGCTCCACCAGCCTCTACCGCCTCAACCAGAACGGCTTCTACTCGCACCAGGCGCTGCACCCCTGGCACCGCGACACCGACGTGGAGTACGTGGAGAACGACGGCAAACCCCGGCTCATCATCGCCAGCAGCTCCCAGGCGCCCGTCATCTACCAGTGGAACCGGGCACAGAAGCAGTTTGCGCCGCAGGGGGAGGTGGGCGAGATGCTGGACGTGCAGATGGTGAAGCACTTCAGGGTGAAGCGGGACCAGTTCCTCTGCCTCAGCCGCTACATCGGCGACTCCAAGGTGGTGCGCTGGGAAGGGCAGCGCTTCGTGGAGCTGCAGACGCTGCCGTCCCGTGGCTCCATGGTGATGCAGCCCTTCTCTGTGGGGCAGCGGCAGTACCTGGCCCTGGGCAGTGACTTCTCCTTCACCCACGTCTACCTGTGGGAAGAGGAGAAGCAGAAATTCACCAAGTTCCAGGAGCTGCTGGTGCAGGCCCCCAGGGCTTTCCGCTCCGTGCTGGCTGCTGACGTGCAGCTCCTCCTGGCCCCCAGCTTCAAGGCCAAAACCCTGGTCTACCGGCATGTGGTGGTGGACCTCAGCCTCTAGACACGGCCCCGAGCTGCCAGCGCGGCCCCAGCGCGGCTTCTGCCTGGGGATGCGCATGCACCCGACTGCCCCATGGTCACAACCCCCCGTGTTCACCGCCCCGGCCAATCCTCCCCAGGGCATCACCCAGCCCCACAGCCCCCAGTTCCCCCAGGAGTCCTGGGATCCCTACATGCAGCACCCACAGACATCCCATGGGATGTGGGCAGGATAACGGGACACCCCTTCCCCTGCAGGCCTATGAGTGCCTGTTTGGGCTGACAGGGATGGGGGAAACTTGGGCAATGGGGTGGAGGCTGCAGTGGGGAGATGGGGGGTGTGTGTGTGGATGTGATGCTCCCAGGATACAGGGGTGCTCCCATGTAGATGAGATGCTCAAGGTGGGTGGGATGCCCAGAGGAGGACAGGATGCTTGAGGCCAGGGGAATGCTACGATGTGGATGTGGATGGGATGCCTTGAGAAGGACAGGATGCTTGAGGCCACTAAGATGCTCCAATGTGGATGTGGATGAGGTGCCTCAAGGCAGATGGCGCCAGGAGGATGCTCCAGTGTGGACGCAGATGGGATGCCCTGAGGAGGATGGGATGCCCTGAGGCAGATGGGATGCTCCGCGGTAGTGCCACCACCACCAGAAGCAGGGCTGACCTGCTCCCGTCCCCCTCCATGCATGTCCAGGCGGTCCCTGTACCCGCTGCCGGGCAGGACGCGGTGTTCCAGCTGTTCCCGAGCTGTCCGTGCCCACCGAAACGCTCCCAGAATAAACCCGCTGTGAGTGCTGCCTGCGTCTGCCTGCGCTGCTGCGTGCCCAAGCACCACGTCCCGCCCGCTATCACCACACAGCACCCCTCTTCCCTTGCACAAGCCCCAGCGAGCCCGGGAAGGGGGAACCCCTTGTTTTAGGCTCCCCCAAGCTGGTTTTCCAGGGCAGCAATTCCCTGTCTCCCAGGGATTGAATCTGCATGTGAAAAACCACCAATTAGGCTCACAAATAAAGATCTTCTTAGCGGTAGCAGGCACCCCGAGGCGGGGCTTTGGGAGCAGGGTTTGACCTCTCTGGCTCCATGGGCTCTTCCCCATGTCGGGAATGCCACGGGTGGCACTGCGGGGTGCAAGGCAGGGCACACAGCACTAACTGGGCAGTGCCACGCTTCTCTGCCCCGGTTTCCCTACTGGGAAAAGGCAGATGTGAAGCGCAGGGAGCAGGCACTGAAGGGTCCCAACAGCACCCATGAGCTGGGGTGCGCTGGGGATGCGCAACCAAGGGGAGGTGCCCGGGGAGGTGATGCCGGGGCTGGCTTCAGGAGGAGAAAACAGCTTCTGCTTCCTGCAGGGTTCAGCACGGGTAAACCCGAGCGAGGCGCGGTGGGGACTGCGCAGGGGCTGAGCTCAGGTCCCGCTGAACCAACGCGTCAGGGCGGTGCTGACACCCTCAGCACCTTGCCCTCGGTTGCCTTGGCAGGACCCAGCGGCGCTCCCCCAGCCCGAACCAGGGCCGGGTGCTCTGTGCACAGGCACGCACTGCTTGGGGTGGGAGGGGAGCTGAAAGCTCGTCCAGTTCTGCCTCTCTGGGCACCCTGCGGCAGCGCCTCGCCGCCCTCACAGGGAAGGGCTTGTTCCCTACGCTGCATCCTCGTTCAGCAACACAAACCCCGCGTCCCCAGGAGATTTCCACGCTTTTCTTTGGGGTTATATGTGTTTAAAAATGACATTGTGGCTGCCCGTCCCTATTGTAATGTTAATACTATAGTACTCATACTACCAATGGTACTACTACTACTACTGTTGCTACTAATAATGTTACTACTACTACTATTAACGCTATTACTAATAGCAGATTAGTATATAGGGTCGAGACCGACTCAACACTCGTGCGCCGGGCCCCTTTGAAGAGCCGCCGTTGCCCCTTTAAGAGCGGCGGGTACCGTTGCGGCGCATGCTCAGAGGCAGCGGCCGCCCCGTTCAAGCGTCTCCGGTGGTCCCGGTGCGGCGGAGCTCGGTCCCGGTCCCGGTCCGCAGCCGCCGCCGCCGCCGCAGCCATGGTGTCGTGGGCGCTCAGCCGGCTGATCGAGTGAGTGAGTGAGTGCGGGCCGGCCGTGGCCCGGGCCGTGTTCCCCGGGTCCGTGGGGCGAGGCTCGGGAAGGCAGAGCCGGGTCCTGCAGCGCTCCAGGCTGGGGAGGAGCGGGATTGATGGAGCTGAGCCGGGTCCCTGCGGATGGGGGCTCCCCCCGTGCCGGTGCCGTCCCTTGTGCAGCTCCGGGGCACGCTGCGGTGCTGGGGCAGGCTCTGCTCAGCCCCCGCTCTGTTCCAGGCTGCTCTTCGGGATGCTCTACCCTGCCTACGCTTCCTACAAGGCCGTGAAGAGCAAAAACATCCGGGAATACGTGAGTACGGAGCCTGGGCAGCTCCCCCCGGCCGGTGCCGCAGCCCCGCGGTGACGGGGCTCTGCTCCCGCAGGTCCGCTGGATGATGTACTGGATCGTCTTTGCGCTCTTCATGGCCACAGAGACCTTCACCGACCTGCTCATCTCCTGGTGAGCTGCGCTGCGGGGAGCAGCCTTGGGGTCCCTCTGGCCTGGGGGGGGGCGGCAAGGAAGGGGGCTCCCCCCTCCTGCGTGCTGTGAGGGGCACGCGCTGCTCTGTCTATGGGGGGAGGCACCATTCCCCCTACGAGGGAGCAGCATCTCCTCACTCTCATGTTCCCCCTGTCTCTGGCAGGTTTCCCTTCTACTACGAGGTGAAGATGGCCTTTGTCATCTGGCTGCTGTCCCCGTACACACGGGGGGCCAGCCTGCTCTACCGCAAGTTCGTGCACCCCACCCTGTCCCGCAAGGAGAAGGTGAGTGAGGGGCTGCCTGGCACTCAGGACCCCCGATGTGGTGCTGTGCCCCCTCCTCAGCTCCGTGCCGTCTGCAGGACATCGATGGGTACATCCTGCGCGCCCGGGAGCGCAGCTATGAGACCATGGTGCGCTTCGGCAAGAGGGGCCTCAACCTGGCAGCCACGGCCGCGGTGCAGGCGGCAGCCAAGGTACAGGGATGGGGCAGGACCCTGTGGGCCCACGGCCACACCTCGGATCCTGTGCTCAGCTCTGGGCTCCTCACTGCAAGAGAGACATTGAGAAGGGAACAGAGCTGGGGCAGGGCCTGGAGCACAAGGGTGATGGGGAACGGCTGAGGGACCTGGGGGGTTCAGATGGAGAAGGCTCAGGGGGGACCTGATGGCTGCCTACAACTGCCTGACAGGAGGATGGAGCCAGGAGGGGCTGGGCTCTGCTCCCAAGGGATGGGACAAGGGGAAATGGCCTCAAGCTGCACCAGGGCAGGTTTAGATGGAGCTGAGGAACAATTCCTTCCCCAGAGGGTGCTCAGGCATTGGAACAGGCTGCCCAGGGCAGGGCTGCAGGCACTGTTCCTACAAGGGATCACACTCCGTGGAGATCAGGCCTCAGTGCCATGGGTTAGGGGTGGCCTTGGCAGGGCTGGGGTGAGGGTTGAACTGGATGAGCTGAAAGCTCTTTTCCAGCCCAGCTGATCCCATGATCCCATGGCCACTGCAGCAAGGCCTCGGTGCTGTGGGTGTCAGGAGCAGGCTCTCTGTGTGCAGACTCTGGGCTGATGGTGCCCCAGTGCTTTGGGCCTTGCCCTGTGGGGCTCACATCCGTCCTCCCCCTTCCCTCCAGAGCCAGGGCGCGCTGGCCGGGCGGCTCCGGAGCTTCAGCATGCAGGACCTGCGCTCGGGGCCCGAGGACACCCCCGTGCACTGCCAGGACCCACTGTACCTGGAGGAGCCCCAGGGCCGCCGGCAGCTGCTGGGTGAGCCAGGAGCAGGCATCATCGTGCTGGGGGCTCAAGCAGAGCCCATTGCGGGGCTGTGCTGGGAGCTATCGTGTGCCCCCCCCTTGTCCCCAGCCTACAGTGTGACCCCCGGCCCCCGGCAGTACGAGAGTGAGACGGAGGAGGAGGAGATCTGGTCAGATTTGGAGGTCGCGTCCTCCCAGCTGGACCCCAGACCCTTGTCTCGCAGCCAGAGCCTGCGTGTGGCCAAGAAGAAGGCACCAGGCAAAGAGGTACCATAGGGAGGGCATGAGGGGCTGGTGCGAGCAGGACCTGACCCGTCCCTCCTGGATGAGGCCCTTGGTGCCATGGCTTAGTAATGGGTTGGACTTGATGATCCTGAAGGTCTTGTCCAGCCCAGCTGATTGTGGTTCTGTGATCCAGGGCTCTTCCCGGCTCTTGCGCAGCAGGATCAGGAAGAAACCGGCCCTGTCGGATCAGGATGACTGATGGAAACCTCCGCCTGGAGTCTTACCATGACTTTGCTGCTGCAGCGTCAGGAGGGAGCTGTGGTTTGTGCAATTCAAGCTCTTGGGAAGGGGCTCCCCCTGCCTTACACTGTAAATCCCTTCTCTGACCTCTGTGCCTCCGGTTGCTGCTCCCACCGTGCCCATTCCCAGACTCCGTCCTATGGACGGGTGCTGGCGCCTCGCCCATGGGATCCAGCCCCCACTTTCCTCCCATCCCATGAACTCCATGGGCTCTGCTGGGATCCCCATTGCTGCCGTGATGCCTTACACCCCACATTCCTTCGGTGGGAGCCAGCAAAGGGATGTGCCTTGTTCCTTTTGTCCTCTGAAGCCAAAGCCACAGCCCTTGGCTGGGGTATCCCCACCAGTTACAGGCTGACACCCCCATACTTGAAACCGGGGCTCCGGTGCTTGACCGAGCCCTGCCGAGCACCACGCAGCTTTTAACGTTCCCACCTCCCAGACAGGGAGTTTTGTACATGGAAAATAAACGCTGTTTCTCACTTGAGCCCCAGCGCTGTCCCCTGCGGTGGTAGCGGGCAGAGCAGGGGGAGGGTGGTGGGGTGCGGGTGATGGGATGAGCATCGCCTTCTCCTTGCAGTAGCTGCATCCCCCGCGCCGTGGCAGCAGCGCTCGGGCCCGCGGGTCCCGGCACCCGGCCAGGGCTGCAGACGGACGTCCCCATCCTGGCTGCCGGCCCTGGATGTCCTCATAGCCCCGGCCGTGGGCACCCTGCCGGGGCTGCCTGGGCCCAGCCAGGGGCTCTCACCTCCCTTCGCTTCTGCCTTAGGGACTTATCCCCTTCCCGGGTGCAGGCCATGGCACGAAGCCTCTGTGGGGTGGCCCAAGGTGACAGCGCTGCTCTCTGCCATCAGTCCCTTCGCTTCCCAGCCCCTCCTGCCCTCACCTCCTCAGCCCAGCGTTTTATATTTAGCCCTTGGCTGCCTTCTGCTTTCGGGGGTCTTCCCAGGGCAGGGGAGAGCGTCTCCCTGGGGCTGGGCAAGGGGTGCTGGGGCAGATTAGGTGGAGGTGGCTGGATTAGCCCAGTCCAACTGCTGGGAGACGATTACTTAAAGCAGCAGGAAGGGAAAGGCTGGGAGGGGACAGCGTGAAGGGGCTGCCTCTAATCCCACCAAAGCTGCTTAGGGAGAGCGCGGTTCCTCCAAGGATACAGCACGGGGAGGCTGCTGGGGCTGCCGGCAAAGCCTGGCTGTGGTGCTGCAGAGTGGGGTACCCCTGGGTTGGGGTTCCACAGCCCCAGGGCTGGCTGGCAGCGTTCCCAGCTTGTGGAAACTGAGGCACGAGCATCAGCGGCGGCTGGGCTGGAGCGGGGCAGGGGCAGGGACCCAGCAGCGCTGGTGGCTGCTCCTGTGTCCTGGCACTGTCCTGTGCATTCCCCAGGGAGGGGACAGCAGCCGGGGCTGGGACATCCCCGGTGCCAGCGCTGGTCCTGGCTGTGCCAGGCTGTGCTCAGCAGAGCCACAGGCGCCCTGTGCCGGAGCCGGCCCAGCAGGGAAGGGGCTGCCCTGAGCCCGGTGCCAGCTCTGGGGTCCCCCCAGCTCACCCGGGGCAGGGGGGAGTGGGGGGAAGTGACCCCTGAGGCACATGGGGGGTGCTGGGGCCAGGCCCCATAAGCAGCCCAGAGCCCCTCTATTCCTGCCAGGGGAGCAGCAGAGGGGTTAAGGTCAAGGGGGTTGTTTGGAGCACCCTGCTCCAGTGGAAGGTGTCCCTTCCCCTGCAGGGGTTGGAGCTTTAAGGTCCCTTCACCCCAAACCAGTCTGATTCCATCATTCCCCATCCCTGAGAGCTGGCAGGGGACCAAGCGATGACAGGGACATGTCTGATGCTCCAGGGAATCACGATCCTTGTTGCAGATTGTCCTCAGTTTCACTGAATCTTCCTCTGTGTTTGTGGTGCAGTTACCTATGGGAACATCTGGGTTGAGAAGCTGGCCTTTATATTAGCATCATGTTAGCATTAACTGATGATGGATGGGTTGCTGTGCTGCACTGCTTGAAGTCCCTGTTCTCTGGATCATGTTAGCCTTAGTCCTTGCTCTCTAGACCATAACCAGAGCACCCAGTCTATTGTATAGATGTTATGTGGCAACCTGGCAAGATAGATGTGTCTAGCAGGCCAACTCGGCAACAGAACTTACTTTTAAGGTGTGTAAACTGCCTGCATTGTAACACAAACCCACCTGCACAGGCCAGGAAGACCCTTACCCAGATGAAGCCCGTTCCCCCGCGCAAGCAGAAGAGAATGACACGGCAGACAGTGTAATTATCCACCTGATCCTTCCACATCCTCCACACCGGGCTGGGTACCAGCTGAGCCCCCAGGCTCAGCACCCTCCCCCGAACCTCTCCTCCCTCCCTCCCTCCCCCTTTCCCACCTCATTTCACCCCATTGCAGGCAACCTGGGGCACTTGGGCGATGCCGGATGCTGCCGGTGCCACCCTGGGGCTGCCCCATCCCCTCCCAGCCACCTGCTCGGGGGGTCCCTGTGGGAGCAGCGTCCTCCCCTTTGCCGTGCTCCTCGCCAGGCTCCCCCGTGGCCGTGCCCGCGCCCTGAGCCGGCTCCCGCGGGCTGAGCCATGTGAGGCCGAGCACACATGGATGGCTCCCGCAGCGCCGCGCTTGTATTTTTAGCAGCCGGTATCAACAGCGCAGCCACGGCTCCCGTTTAACGGCAGCCTCTTCCCCGGCGCGGCCGGGCGGGGGCTGCGGGCGGGGGCCTCGGGCGGGCAGGGGCTGGGATCCCCCCCTCACAGCCCCACCACGCAGGTGAGAGCTCCCCGCTGCCCGCCCCATCGCACGCCTGCCCCCGGGAATGGCAGCTCCCGCCGCGGCGGGGGGGAAGCGCGGTGCCTGGGAAAGGGCGTCTGAGGTGATGGAGTGTGGGAGGGCGCGGATGGAGGAATGCTGCATCCCCACCTCCTGCCCCCCCGCAGCCGCTGTGCCCCCCCGGGACCCGGCTGTCCCCAGCCAGCCCCGTGCACAGCCCGCGCTGGCACCGAGGATGGTTCCAGCTCCGTGTCCCCGCGCTGGAGCCGCATCCCTGGGACACCAGAGGCTTGGTCCTTAGGGAGGGTGCGCTGGAGACCCGCTCCTGTGACCGCACAGGGAAACCGAGGCGCTCCCTGCTTTAGGGGGATTCAGTGCTCATCATTCCCGGCTCTCCAACCCGCGCGGCCCCAGTGCCCATCGCCATGGCAGGGCAATGCTGGGGCACCCCAGGAGCATGGCATGGGCAGAAGAGGGGCCCAGGTTGAGGGCAGGAGACCCTGAGCACCCCAGGTAGGTGCTGCCAGGCCCTGGCTGAGCGGGCAGCAGAGGTGCTGCCGTGTCCCTGGCTGCCATCCTAAGCCCTTGGCCCCGCAGGCGAGCTTTTAATTACATCAAGGTATTTGGAGCTGGGCTGCTGGCACTGAGCTGGGGAAACTGGAGTCCCGAGGGGGTGGCACAGGACGGGCGGCTTCCTGGGACAGCTTGTCCTGCCTGTCCTCCCCCGGCATGGGAAGGAGGGAGCAGCAGCATCCTCAATCGCCGCGTCCTGCATCCCTGCGAGCATCCCTGTGAGCATCCCTCCAAGCATCCCCCTGCCTGGCAATGGGGGACACCAGCAAAGGTGGGTCCCCCGCTCCCTTCTGATAGGGACAAGCTGCTTCGCTGCCTCCATCTCCCTTCCCCATCCCATCCCCAGCGTTCAAGTGCTGCTCAGGGAAGGAGTGGCTGCTGCTGCCCTCCCTTCTGCATGGCTTTAGGAAGGCTTTGGGGTGCCGGGGCGCAGCCCCCAGCCTGGAAGAAGCAGCTTGCCTTTCCCCAGCAGCGGAACAAGCGGGATTAGCCATGCTTACTCACCTCCCCTCGGGAAAACCGGGAGATTAAGGCCGGGAGCAGCGCCGGAGCCCGGCCCCGGTGGCCGGGGCTGGAGGGGAGCGCAGGCTGCCAGAGCAGTTGGGTTGTAGCCCTAATTCCCAGCAAGCTGCTCGTGTGGGAGCGCGTGTCCTGCCGTGCCCTCGGCTCCGCCGCAGCTCCGCGCTCGGCAGCCTTCACGTGGGGGTTTTGATGCTTTTAGTGCGTTTTCGGGGTCGTTTCAAGCTCCGGGTGCGCGTCAGGAGCTGCTCCCGCAGGCACCGCCTGGTGCGGGGGGACCCGGGGATGGCGCTGCCTTCCTCCATCGGCGCCCTTGTCCCCTTCACCTGCGGCCCAGGGCAGGCAGGTAGGTGCGTGCTGGGCTGTGCGGGGCTGGGAGGAGGCGGAGGAGGAGGAGGAAGGGCTCTGTGATGCGCAGGGAACTGGAGGGGCTCTGGGTGAGCGGGGGGGGGGACGGGACGACGCGTTGAGGCCATTTTCCTGAGGGAAAAGGCTGGATTTTAGGCTGTTTTGGGTCTGCGGAGCCCTTCATGGGGGTGCCTGGATCTGGCCCAGGGCAAGTGATGTGGGCAGCAGGGCAGGGCTGGCTCCTCGCTGCCACAGCATCAGCACAGAGATGGGCTGCTGGGTACCAGTGAGCCTGTTGCGCCGGGACCGCCATCCATCCCCCTGCCCAGCGCTGGAGCATCCCAGGACCCCCGTGCCCTGCCTCCCCCGTGGTCCCAATGGACACAGGAGGGATGCACATCCTTGCAGTGTGTCCCCCCCATCCTCCTGCACCGAGCAGGGCAGGGATGCCAAGGTTTCTAATTCGGGTGCTTCCGCTCTCCAGCACCATCCTTCTGGGCTTGTGGGTGTTTCCGGTCCCTCCGATTTAAGGCAAAACCCAGGAAGATTGGAGCTGTGGGACAGGCTGTGCCAAGCCACCAAGCCTGGAGCTGGCAAAGTCCCAGCCTGGAACCCCCTGCATTGACCTGGGAGACTGTCGTGCTGGGATATAGGCAGGGACCAGAGGGACCCCAGCTGGAGCCTGATGCTGGGAATGGGGTGGAATGATGGCCAAGCTCCAGGAGATCCTGCCAGCACGGTGGCTGCCCCTCAGGGTTACACTGTCCCCAGAGAGCCTTTGTGAGGGCCTCAGGCTCCCTGGCACAGGAGGAGCATCCCGGCCATGGCTGCAAGCAGAGGGCATGGGGAGGGCAAGGCCCAGGGATGCTGCCCGGTGCAGGGTGGAAAATTCCCTGCCATCCCTCCAACATCATCCCCCTTTTCCCTACTCCAAGGGCTGCTCGTGGCATCGCCTTGGGGTTTCCCAGCATCAGGGTGCTGTGTCTATCCCCTCCCTTGTCATTCCTATGCTCCCATTGACCCATTCGGCCATGCCAGGCTGCTCCAGGCCCTTCTGGCTGCATCAGCCCATCCGGAGCCATGATCCCCATGGAGCAGAGGGAGGGAATGGGAAGGGTTTGTCTTTCAGCACCTTCTCATTGCAGGTAGGCTCGGGCTCACCCTCGCCCTGGGCCCTGTCTGGGTCCCCTCCCTGTTCCCTGGCACCCAGTGGGTGCAGTGAGGAGGAGCCGGGCACCACAGCCCCCCAGACCCTCCCCTTGGTGTCGAGTGGGCCCCGAG